GTGAAAATTTTTGGTGGGAGAATTGCTAACTCGGAAACCAGAGAAGCTGGACGGCTCAAATTTTGAGGGAATGTAACCTCTTTAAGTACAAGTCAAAGATTTCAGATTCAGTACTCAGGCGCTCATGGTACTCATGTACAGGCACATAAAATCCTTCGTCTGTAACTCAGCACCGTAGTATTTTTTAAATCCTCTCATTCCCTATTACCTATCTTATGTTTTCCTTCTCAGTCTTACCTTACTTCCACTGCAGTAGTGTAAAAGAAGGGTGATAGAGATTAAGAATGTGATAGGTATGTAGAAAGTCTGCGACAGAGATTGAGAGATTGCTCCTTCAGTTCAGCAGCACACTTTTAGAGGAGAAGCAGAGATTGAGAAGGTATCAGAAATACAGTACATTCTGTGACGGAGATTGAGAAGGCAAACTGCCTATAACAGATGGTAGTGCGATTGATTCAAGTGTTTAATAATTGGCCAACGCACGGGCTGGCCGTGCGAAGATGCGTTTTTTGCATGGTTCCGCACAGTTCTTATTGCTACCGGCACCGGTTTTTCCGGCAAATACTTCTAGCTAAACTAACTAAGACTGGCCGTCAGAATTGTCAGGAAACATACCCTTAAAATTTCAGCTTTCTAGCTTTCGTGGTCCTAGAGTTAGCAACTTACTGGAACAAAATTTTCCCGGGCCCGTGCATGTTTACCAAGCATGCCTGAGAGCTGGATTCGAGCTGAATGAAACTTAGGCGGACGGAGTATATCTTCTTAAAATTAAATTCCTTTAGCTTGTCAGGTAATTGAGTTATCAATTTACCCGAAAAAAATTTTGGCGGGCTCGTACGCGGGTGCAACGCTTATCCGGGGGCTGGGTTTGAGCCTACTAATAGCCGCTTGGACGGGGAGCATTATCCCAAGAATTCAGCCTTCTAGCTTCTCAGATCCTCGAGTTATGAACTTACCCGAAAAAACTTTCGCGGGCCTGTACGTGGGTACTACGCGGGTTTTGGCGCTCATTTTGGGTATTGGGGGCGGTACGTGCATGTAGATTAAGTTCCCGAAATTTCAACCCCGCAGCTTTTGTAGGTCCTGAGATGAAAGTGCGTGACAGACGTACACACACAGACACACAGGCACACAGACGCACAAACACACAGACACACAAACACACGGACACACAGGCACACGGACACACAGACAATCTTTCGTCAATGTGCGTTTTTCGCATTGCACTGCTGCAAATAACGCATAATAATCCAGAGTTGAGGGGTGAAACGGAGATGAAGCACTGGTTAAAGCAATTAATAAACTGTCAGCTCGGATCGTAGATTTCGTTTACGTTGCCGCGTCGTATATCCTAAAATGAGCGTTTTATCTTTATGTCCAAGTGTAAGAATATCAATTTTCCTTTTAATTACAGAAATTGATTCGAGGCTCCTCATCTCAATAAACCATAAACAACACTAGCCGATGTTTTAGGAGTCGAATTCACGTCCTAATTCTCGAATTCTTGCCAGTGCTAGTTTACCATCAAAACAGTGATTGAACTGTAGAGGGGCAGGTATTCGCATCGGTAGAGTCGAACCACGACGCAGTTGTACTTTCCAATATGCCATGCTCATGGACGGTTTCAAGTAATGTGGAGAAGCAATTCGTACCATTTTCCTACTTTCCTCTCGTTCTAGCATTGCCCCTGCAGAAATAGTTTTGATGGGCATTCTATTAAACTCTTAGCTGAAATGCCAGGTTTAACACTGCGCTCCAACCTAGAGTTTAATAAAAGCTGAAGAGAATATTCCGCGTCCGCGTAAAACTTAAATATTTCAAATTCAGATCTGCGTGATTCTCACGTACGGGCCGTCAAGATTTTTGCGCTGGAAAATTGCCAACTCTGGCACCAGGAAAGCAGGAAAGCTGAAATTTTAAGGGAATTTCCCTGTCCTATTTGCGCAGTTAATTTCCTGAACTTCGAGGATACGTATATCACAAATTCTCGCTGCTGGGATTTCAGGCGATCTTACAATAGGACAAAATATTGCAAAAACGCATAGTCGCACGGGTTCGCTTAATGCGCGTCGCCAAAATGTTGA